AATATTCTTACAAGCTAGGGAATTGTAATATCCCTGCAATAAAGGCAAGACAATGTAGTTTATAATTGGAAGTGCTACAGGTAGATGTAAACAAGCTAATTAAAAAAAGTGTCTAGGCCTTTCATGTTTCTTTAGATACATCATCACCCATCTCTTTTCCAGATTATTTTCCTCTGTTCGTAACTGATTTGGTGGGAAAGTAAAAGCATGGAAATTCCATCCAGCTATTATGGGGTGACTAGGCAAGTCATGGTAAGAGCACACGGTCGCTGCCAGCGAAAAAACACAAGGTCACAGTAATTCTCTTCAGCCTCTTGCAGCCTTCAAAGCTGGGTGTCTGCTCCTGCTCCGAGCGCGCTTCAGCTGTGCTGGAATTCAGCAGAGCTCCAGCTACCGCAGCAGCAGCCCTGGGCTGCACGGCTCCAGAACATTCAAACTGAGCTCAGTGAAAGCACGGAGTGTAGGTCACACACAATATTCTCTTCATTGTGGAAACTGATAATAGCTCATTTAAGGCGAAATAAAAGGAAAAAAGAAACAAAAAACATACAATTTATTAATTGTAAATAAGTCAAAAGTTAACCCCTCGTGAAGATTCACAGCCTGCTTCTTTCAGACAGTCAGTGCTTGCTGAATGAAAACGTTCAGAAACTTGCCAACAGTAGCTTTGTTCCTATGCAACGAGAACTTCCTCAAAATCTTTACCTCATTTTGTTTGAGCTTCAAACTAATTGCTTTGGGATTATTTATATTTTGAAAGACGCAAAACTTTTGATTGAAGAAGTGCCCCCTACTACTTCCATTAATTCTAATTAATTCATTTAGAATTTTGGCTGAGAATTTTCATCTGTGCAGCACAATGAAAGTATTTTTATAAACCCTTACCTATTCATTTACAATTACGATTTTAGCAATAGTTTCATAAATACTGTAGTAGAAGCAAATGGGGGGAAGAAAAAAGAGAGGTATTTTACAATTTCCAAGGCACAATAAAGACTGTCTAAAGCAGCCCTTGGGACACATTTACTTGACGGGTAAGTTTTATGAATGAATGTGTCTTATCTCTCCCTATTTACAGACTTACAATCATCTCTCAACTTTTAAATTAATGTTTGGAACTTCATCAGGGTTACTTAAGGAGCAGTGTGTGCAACAGCATACGCGCTGATAGTCACATGTCCAGTTTCAGTTTCTTCAGAACTGTTATGTGAAGTTCACTGAAAAGGTACAGAAACATGGAAAATTATACCTGTGCGTACTTGCAAATGTCTACATCAAGGAAGAAGGTCTAGACATCTGTGACAGTTGGTAATGCAGGCTGTCTGCACGGGGCAGGACCAAACCAGTCAGTAAATGACAACAGAATCAAAAAACCTCTCAGCACTACAGGTTTTGAAAATGTCCAAGGTTAGTATACTCCCATCTTACTTTCCTACGTTAATAACAGCGTGTTGACTGTGTATTCAAAACTTACATTTTTCCACTATGGAGCTTATTACTCAATGAAGAAAATCTGTTTTTTCATGTTAATAGGCTCTTCTGTGGTCCATACACACATCGAGGACAAATCAGACTCTAGATCTATCCGCTCCCCTGAAAGTTATGTTTTCAAGCAATTAAATATTCCTAGTTTTCATCCTTCTAATGTCCAGATATCCATTACTATAAGATTTTTGCCCTCAGCATGATTCTGGAATAAGGAGCAGAATTACATTTTAAATGCGACTATCAGAAAGAAGGTAAGACATTATGTTATACAGCTCATTCTTCCCTCAGGAAAAGGCCAGTATTTGGCTAGAAATTGTGTAACAGATACACAGCATGAGATAACTATACAGTGAGGACTATTCTTACCTATCGGGTATCTTTACGTGAAACTTGCTTTACCTTTCCTAAGGCCCTTAAGAGAGTGATGGAAGAGCAATGTACGGAAAAAAGTATTTTTAACTCCAATTTGAGAATACCCCATACTGGGAGAGTTGTAAGTACAATAAAGTACTGTGATACTGAGGGGAAAATACAAACTAAGTCTTCAAGTCATTATGTTCTGGTGAGTGTGGGCTAAACTGTTTACTTCCAACAGCTACTCTTTAAGACAGGGTAAGTCTTACTGTAATCCAGAAATGAGTAAACCAAGTTCTTTTCATTATACATCATCTGGTATAAAAATTCCCTCCCACTGAAATACTGCATTCATGGCTCAAGCTGATGTTATATGAACATTAATTAACAGAATTCAAGCTCTTCGTATATAAGGGTGGGATGCCAAAGAACACGTTTGGAATCTTTGTTTTCCATAATCAGTGTATGCATCAGATCAGCGTTTTCAAATAACACTGACAACTACATTTGTTCCTATAAATGTTTCTCCTCAATAGCCAGTGTCATTATTCCGCTACTCCTTCCAAGATGAGGCTGTATCCCTAACAGCCTGGAACTGAGGATGAAGACTATCAAAAGCTCCCTGGTATCAGATGTGTTTAAGAGTCGAAGAGCCTTTAGAAATCATCTTCTCTTTCAGCACAGAGTCCTGCTGAAATAAACTTTCTGGAAAGAATAGCTCAAAATTACTATTGAAGAGATTACAGGAACACACCACAAACAGTGAAGACTGAAAAGATCACACAACAAAACTATCCATGTAAGGATTAAAAAAAAAAAATTTCCTTTGTGTGGACAAACCAGGAGGAATCACCAACATCTGGTCTCAGCTGCGATAACACCGCTAGCTGACACTCCTTTGATCACCTTCAGACTACTACCTGACATTCTGGCACTGCAAGCAAACAGGAGACTCGCAATTACTGAATTTATTTGTTAATGTTGCTCGCCCCTCTAAGTTTCCCACTGTAACTGAGAAACATACAAAACTTACATCACTCCATGAGCATCTGCAGGGACGAGTCAGCTCTGTTAGGAAATACAGGCTCCTCTGGAGAGCACGCGTTGTATTGTTTCATTGGAAGCAGACGTTCAAGAACAAACACTGACTGCCTTTTCAGCTAAATACAGAATCCACACAGGCTAGTGTCCCTTGAAGGCGTACCCTGGGTTACACGTACGCAGCTTCCAGGAAGCCTGCCTCTAAAGCAGAAGCACTGGTAAAGAACCGGGCCTAGAAGCCCCATGGTCCATAAACTGGCACTGCACTGTCCATACTGGTTTTGTAGTAGACAGCATCCTCTGCATACAATGTGTGAGGAAATGGCTTTGCAAATACCTAGGTCTGCTATGGCACACTGCTGTAGAGGTTCCTGATTTCAGGCTGATTTCTGCTTGACCAATTGAGACGTCTGACCTGCGAAGACCAACCGTGACAGGCACGAGCTCCGCCTGAAAAACAAGCACGGAAGCAGGAGACAGCCTGCTCTTCGGCTAACTTGTTTGCAAAAGGTTACAGGGGCATAAGCCAAAATTGAAGAAATCCTTCCTTGAAAGAAAACGGAGCTCCGAGACTGAGCTGCACGTTCAGCAAATGATTTCGTATTGCCAGCCATGCTGAAATAAAAACTGCTTTCCTGAAGACCAAGCAGAAACTTACACACTGGGAAGCAGAACAAGCCCAAACACCTTTAGAAGTTAAGAAGGAAGACAGATAAAAATTGGAACCACGTCAGAGAGAGATATTCCCCTGTGGCCCGTGACTGGCAGATCTGGTTTCACCTCCACTTCTAAAAGCAGGCTGAGGTCTTCCTTTTAACAAAGCCTTACATGGCAGCAGAATGAAGACTAGATCTATTAGGTATAAACTGAAAGGCAGATAGAAAAAAAAAATATCCTTCCAGTTACACTTTCAAAAAGCTCTTAAAAATTATTTTATATATATACATACTACTGATAGAGTAAGAAATAAGTTTCTCAACATTTTCTTGTATGAACTACACAAACCAGCATCTCTTACTCACAGACAACCTTACTGTCTAGGGGTTTGGGGTTGTTTTATCGCCAGTGTCTTAGCAAAGGGAGGTAGAGTTAAGTTTCATGAATATCTACTTAGATTCTAGAAACATTCTGTCCTCGTTTTCGCTTCCATTTTGTATGCATAACTTTGAATAAACTGTAATGTCCTCTATTTAGCTTTTATTATTTCTGTAAAGCAACAAAAAAATATGAAGAACCCGTAGTGCTTTTTTGTTCTTGCTAGTGTTAAGTATGCAAAGCAATGAAAGGGAGAGTTGAAATCTCTTTCTTCTGCATCAACAGATCATTTAATAAATTCCAGTGCAGCTATAGTTGTGCAACCCTATTAGACACAATGGAGTTACAGAGGCATAATCAGCAGCTTAATTTGGCTACCAGCATTCTTCTTACTTGTGCCAGAGAACAAAAAGGAAAGCACCCAGCCTGATCTCAGGCTGACAGTTAGGAGAGAAATGCATCTTATTACCTTCCTGAAGTCTCAGCTACGCAACACCTACGCCAAAAGCGTACACTGCTCGTGCACACCTTCACAGCCCACTCGTGCTCCCGCTGCCCAGAGGGAAGCTGAGCAGCACGCCTCAGTGCCCGCTCCACCACCAGCTATCACCTTGCCTGGGCAGTCCTCACCATCCCCTCACATGATCAGCATCAAACCACGGCATGGCAGGGAGAGCCTGGCAGAACTTCACGGGAGAGCTCCGCGGGCTACAGCGACGTTTGCTTTTCTGACAGGCTCTAGACTGAGAGCACCCAATCCAGATCTTACGGGTGTACATTGGAAGATATTACCGTGTCTCTTAGGAGCTGGTTTTGAACAAACAAGTATGGCTACTTTGACAGCTGGCAAGCTAGACCAAGAAGTTCCCTACAAGCTTCTTGTACGACTAGAAAAAGGTGAGATGCAAACTGAACCTAGACGTGCTTATCAATATCCCACAGTTCAATCACAGGCTACGGTTCCACACTGAGAAACCAAGCAAATTTGAATACCATTTCCATATAGTACTTAAAAACACAATCATATCAGCTATTCAACTTTAGATATTCCATCAGTCTTAGCTCACGGTAAGATGACATACCCATCATGTCTACTTTTCTTAGCAGATAAATCATCTCCTGCTGCAGGTCTCCTCTTTTTCCTTGGAGGCATCACTTTACTAAAGCAGTCTGATGAACTGCAAGACCGGAGACTTCCTACAGAGGGAATTAAAAACACCAGTACAAGAAATGAAACTGTTGCAGGCCAGTTAAACTGCGTCCACTAATAGGCATATTTCAAAGGGAAGGGAAGGGAGGAAGTTAGGGGATTTCAAAATTACAAAAGAAAAGATCTCCTTTCAATAGCAAAATCCATCTCACTTCCACACGGTGTTCTACGACCAGACTTCAGTTAGGGCCACACGTACTATACCAAAATGGACAGCAGCGCTAACAAAAGGCAAGAACTGAGACTATCCTGAAAAAGTATTTGAGTCCTCAAAAAGGCATCCTGATTTTTAGGCATTTATTCAAATCAGAACTTTTTGAAATACAGACGTGACTCAAAAACTAGAGCACCTACCTCTAGAAAACGGAACCTTTTTAAGCCCCAAGTTTTTCAGGATACAGAGAGCAAGGGGTAGCAAAGGTTTTGTTTGTTTGTTCTTTGGGTTTTTGTTTGCTTTCTTTCTCCCCCATTTTTTTTTTTCCCCGGGGCAGGGGAGTGGGTGGTGTGGCAGCAGAAAAAGTGGCCGGCTGTATCGTTTGGGCTGGACAGTTCTCAAAGAATGAAGGTCCCCAAGTAGGAAAGAGCCAATTCAAGACCCTGATGCCAATCGAGTGGCAGTCTTTCCCTCCCCTGCTCTCAGCTACATACTCCTGTGTCTCTGGTGACTCTTCAGTGTGCCAGTCCAGCTCACCAAACCTGTAGATAATTAACCCAAGCAAAAAATAACAACTTTCTGTACATTAGCACAAGAAAGAGCGCAGGACCAGCCCTTCTGACCACAGCCAGTCGTTACACTGTCTTTGCTGTCTCATGAAAACAGTAGGCTAACACTCCAGGCAAAATTTTGTCCTACTTTCATATCCTGAAGACCACATGGACACCCGAGCAAGGTGTGTGTAAGAGCAGCTCAAAGAGCTATCAAAGCTCTAAGTATTACGCAGAGAATTTTAACAGGAAAGGAAGAGAGAGATGAGGTATAAAAACGGACACAAAGCGATGCCAAAGAAACTTGCAAGAAAATATGAAGAACTCCAGCATGCCTAAGCTACCTTCCCTTAGCTTCAACAGCATCCAAGTTTAGCTATGCTTTATTAAGATGCCCACAAAAAATCTTTTATTTCAAACCACAGCACAGAAGCAAGCAACAAAACTTTCACTGCTTTTCAACACCAAGGGAGCAAACTGAAATCAGAGGCCCAGTTCCCAACAAATACTAATGGCAATCTTTTGCTTACCTATTCTTCGTATCTTTGAAAGTCTCTCCCCTGTTATAGGAGAAACACATGTAAGGAACCTTACAGCCTCACAGGCTTTGCTATATGCACTTATTTCAAACATGCACTGAAACTATAACACACATGAAAGTGTGGACTTTTCTAGTATTAGGCAAGGTGTTCAGACCAGTTTTTACACCAAGATGAACTAATTCGGTTTCAACTAATAAAGCTTTTGCACTTAGTATGAATTCTTTGGTCTGACCTTTATGTTCATTTCTATTAATAAGCAAATTAATCTCTCTAGTTCAAGAAATACTCTTTCCGATTCAAAAATTCTTCCTATATATTCCTTTTTATTTTTTACCCTGAAGCTCCCCGACCCCAGCACCCTCCCAAGAAAGCACGGCCATATCTACACTGTCTTTTAGAAAGTTTTAAGAATATTACAAGTTCAAATTATAATTAAACTAGTTATCAAAAAAATTTCCAAGCATTATGCTCTGTAAAGTACTATCACATGAAAAATTCGTAATGACTGTGTCAGAACAATATACTTCTAGAAGCATTGTCCAGAATACATTAGAAAAGGAAATGAACAATAATAATATTTTTCACCTTCTCACCAATACCAGATGCACTTCGCAGTACGCCCAATGCATTTCTCTACCCAGATCAGAGAAACTAAGGAACCTGACCTGCTGAATGTCATTTGTTCCAACGGAGTACGCCTGCAAGTTAATGCTACTGCAAAACCGTATTCCCATAAGTTACTGAAAGTGGGATGCTTTACAGCTTTTTAGATCAAGTTGCTGAAGACTCTGTCAGAAAGTATTTTTTGAAAACCTGCACAAACTAGAAACGCTAAAGATGACAGCAGAACTTAACAGATGGCTAGAGACAGCCAAGAGACTCAGACACACACTAAACTTCATAAATGACAATGTGTGCTAATGAACACCTTGTTTTGGAAAATATGTATGTACTTGAGTGCAACCTGTAGCTATCTCATTCTTTTGAGAGAAATTTGATTGTTTTTAAATGCCTTTCTATTTAAAGACAACAACAACAAATCTATTTATGATGGCCACGGGCACTGGATGCTGGCAAAATGCAAGAAAAACTGCCAACCCCCCCACAGGGTTTGATTGGGAACAAAAATATGCAAGGCCTCTGTGAGAAGAGAAGCACAGCAAGAGATGAAAATAAAATAAAAACAAATGAAAATAAAACAGTTCTAGAACAGGAAAATCATTTTGTCTGCTCTGCAACCCCATTCAAACCAAAAAAATTTAACCCACAAATTCCTGTTTGAAGTCTTTTCCTCATTAAATGCTAGGACATTTTTAGGAAAATTGCTGAACTTGTTTTAAAGGCTTCAACTGATAACAGAATTCACCATAACTCAATTTCTCCAACAGCTCACACAAGAAACTTCTACCGTTTCTTGGTTTGAATGTGTCTAGTTGCAGCTCTCAAACTGACAGAAAAGGGAAGAAAAGAGATAGCTCAGAAATTGGTAAATGGCCATTAAATGCACATGTACTCCCCCCTCACGCACAAACATAGACACGCAGACACCAGGTGGACAAACACATTCTACATGCTGCCAGAGATTTAAGGTCCTAATAACTGAGGTTTGGACCAAGCCCTCACTACGTTTTAACTGCTGAATGATCTCTGAACTACTAGAAAACACTGCACAAGGATGTTACCTTAAAAGTATTTCCCGCTGTTAGTAGAATCAGAATATTGAATTGGAAGGGCAGTTATAATTTCCATGGAATAAACTCTGAAAGTTAAACCAGCAGCGTACTTCTATCTTTTATTCCCATATAAAGCTAAACACTATCAGAGTTTGGGGGTTTTTGTTTGTTTAAATTCTTGCAATTTCTTATTTTATAGTATAGCTCACTAAGTAGCATCAATATTAACCTTTCCTACACAGAGCTTTCCAATTCTAAATGTAATTTCTAGGCCTAGCCTTTCACAACCGATTTCACTTCTCAAAGGTCCGATCGAACAAGCATGCAGCTCCCTCTGACTTCATGCAAAGTTTGACAGGAACTTTACTTACCGAGTGCAGCTTCTCTGACGGGATTATCTTCCGAGTTTCTTACTCCTGGGTCTCAACTCAAGATTGGCAGAACCCTCCTAGTTCTCACTGTTTTTTTGACACTTGAAGCTAGCATTTGCAAGGTAGAGCCTCCAAATGGCTGCTGAATAGGCCACCATCAGCCAAAAGCCTGCCGAGTATAAATGTTGTTTGCCAAACGTTCTATTCAGGACTTCCAAATGTGCAGGAGACAAAGCTACCAAAGGGAAATATCAACTCAAGAGCTAAAATTCACCCTAAGAAATTTGCAACAATATGCAAGATAATCACCACAAGGGAGGGACACTCCTAGAATAGCAACAAAACCAGAACAAACAAACAAGAAGAAACAGAGGTCAATAAATAAGAATTCTACAAGCTGTGTCCCTACAGAAGTGGTTTACAGACATGTAATTTTCACCTTCTCTCTAGATAATGCCTGAAAATAAAGGTACCGTGGTTTACAGACATGTATCCTTTGCTACTGAATAATGTACAGAGTGTGAGTGCTGAATCATTGGAAAGATATAGCTGCTAGCTTAATGATGCAACAAGACCACCACAAGCACAGTTAACAGTCGTAATTTTTCAGATACAAGATGAGAAAACTAAGATACTCATCGAAACGTCAAACAACTTGCAATCTTGTTGTAAAAGGAAAAATCGTCTTCTCTATCTTGAATTCCACGCTACAGAACTGCTTTGGACTCAAGCGGGTTTTCTTCTCTAAAACAACAAAAAAAATAGTAGAGGCAAAACTAACATCCCCCCATCCCAAGCCTTCAAGAACAGCAATGAAGCCTTGCTTTTGTTGCAGACATTACCTCCTCCTTTCGAACGAGTCAGGTGACAACAGGAAGTGTACTTTTACTTTTAAAGACATTTTAGAATGGATAGGTAAGTCAGTCACAATTTAACAACCAAATCGTGACTTTAAGCTATCAACAACTTGCTAGATTTGTAGTTACGACACGAAAACAACTATTACCTCACATTCTAGAGAGAGAGTTTTCCAAGTCAATGCATATAGACACTAGAAGAACCAGAAATTGTTTACAGAATCTGAATGCCTGCTTTTCTTACCCCTGCAAACAGCTGGAAAGGCAAAGGCCCATGCCACGTTCGTAGCCTACCTTATTTTTCAGATACATACGCACGCTGGATGCTAACACATTTCATGAGACTGTAATCATTATAGGTGACTGGAACTTGAAAGCGAGGTCCTTCTTAGCTCCCAAATCACTGTAGGAATTTAAAAACTGCCACCCTCTAGCTCTTAGATATTTAAGATCAGAAAAGAAATCTGGCTAATACTTAGAAAACATGTAATTTGCTTCAAGTAATTTAGATGTCCAGTACATTTACTGTTAGCACAGAAACAACTGCTTTGAAATAAATGTAATGTGCATTAAAGGTTCATTATAAACATTAACCTAAAATTGAAATACTCAGGGTTTTTTTAAATAGCTTTTAGAAATCTCAGCCAAATTTAGAGATGCATTTATTAAGTCATCCCAAAAGCAGGGCCCACAATGTAGTAACATTAACCAGGACAGTTATGTCAGAAAACGAATAGTGATCTTTAAGGATAAGGCTTGCTCCAGAAGATTCACTGAAGGAAAAAAAAAAAAAAAACATCTCAAACCTAAAAAAACATCTTTAGATGGGTTTGGCAACACTCAAAGAATGTTTTGTGACAGTTATTAACATGGCTATCAAATGAGTTCTGGACATAGAATCTCAAATTCACAGCACCTACGCAGGTCTATAAATTGTGTAACAAAATTAATAGGTCTTGACATTTCTTAGTAAGCAGTCAGGAATATTGGAAAATAGAAGTTCCAAAAATTCAGGCGTATCAAAATTAAACAATTTGCAAAAATAATTCTTTTTAGATTGACGTAAGGCTCTCCAGTAAAATGTTTCAGCAGTGTCGAGGCCCACACAAAATGGACATGGGAGACCTCACTGTATTATATTCACGACGGCCCAAATAGCTCCTTGCATGTGTATTTGTCCTCAAGTGAGGAAAAACGAGTGCACGTTTTGACTGAATTTGCCTGAAGTTACGCAAACGTTGGGGCTTCAGCTTCTTCTACAAGGAGACATAAAAGGTCAGAAGCATAAGAAATACTGGAAGGAAATGTGAAGATGAGGAGCCTGCCAGCATCAACCTCTGCTTTCGGTTCTCATTTCATACTTGTTCGTGGTTTGAAATGTTCTTTTACAACTACTGTGAAAAATTACACTCTTTACTGGGATACAGACTCATTCAACGGGCGTGTTTAAGCTCTTGAAACAGCTCAATTGGAACACCACAATGCAGGCAATAGGACAATGATGAGAGTCAGTATAAAGCAGTTTATCAAAACCAGTAACACGCTCAAACATCTTCCAACAGAGATAATGAGAGCTCTGAGGCTAATTTCTTATACTGACCTTTATGAGAGAAGTGCTAGGCGAGGGAAGCCAAATTCCAAACACCTTAAGCACACCTACTCTTACTGATTGATCCGTGACAGAAGGGGACTACTTCAATGCTTCGCTACAGATTTTTGTGATCAAAAGCAAACAAAGGCTATGGAATGTATTTTCATAGGGAAAATCAGCATGTATCTGTGTTTAGTCCGAGCACCTGGATCGCAAAGGGGAACAATCCAAATCTCCATCAGGAGACGGGAGAGAACATCAGTTCTAACCTAGGGACAAGAAGACCTCTGACTGCCCTGAACTACCTGCCGCCACCTCTTTTGCAGAGGTTTTTTCTTTACATGATCAGCTAACTTCCAAGTATCACATCACTAAGCACACTAAAGGAAGATATTTGATAAAAGCCTTTTGCGGCTAGGGTAAGACAGTTCAACTGTGAAACAAAGTCAGCTGCCACAGTATGAAGGAAGGTACACAAGCCCTACGAGAGCTCCATCCGATCCCACACAACGCAGCACTATGCATCTCTCCTCATTGCTTCAGGCTAAGAGTGTGCTAGATTTGTAAGCGTGTCCCAGAAATCTCCAGGAAGAGCTGACAGCTCTCTTCAGCGCTCACGGTAACATCAGCAAACACAGCCAGCACCTCAGGACAGAGAAAAACTTGGAGACAGATGGTAGGACAGATACGGTCAGTTTTAAAGAGTAGTTCTGCTGAGTGATCAGGGCTTGAAGCCAGGAAGTTATTTTCCTTTTTCCTTAGGTATCACGCCTGAAACACAAAAAGGAAGGAAGAACAAGAAATCAAGGAAGACGCCAGCTCGTAAGTAACAAGCACCAAAGGAGGTAATGAATGCTGCAAGATACCGAGTGACCAGGCACAAACGCTGACGGATCAAGAATGGCAGCGAGCTAGCACCAGGCACCCGAGATGAAGGCCTCGAAAAAGGATGACTTTTTATTGACCAGAAAACAGATCTGGACTAATAAATAGCCCTTAGACACTGAAACTCTGCACACGAAACGGGAACAACCCGCATGGAAACCGCTCGAGACAAAAGCGGTGTTGTTTGGAGCACAGCATTTAAACTCGGGCACAGGCGTCACAACAGCCACGAGAGGTCTTGCTTCTGCTCTGTTCTCACTAACGCTCTTTCAAGAGTCAAAACCCTGCAAGAACACGGATATTCTGCTAGTCTAACGGGTTGAGTCCAAGGAGTGAGAGAAGTTTTTCACCAGCTCTTCTAAAGTACTTAAACTAAGAAATCGTAAAAGGACAGATACTGCTGAAACCTGCGCGAGTCCTTCACGACTGGATAAATTAAAAGCACGTCTATTTTGAAGAAAACTTTAAAAAATCCTGGTACTTGTTTTCTAAAGCTCCGTTAGCTTTCTAAAATACAGTTTCCAATGTTAGAGAGACTTCTTTGACAAAGCATGCTCAAATAGATTCAATCTATTTCTACTACATCCCTATTCAATACCTGTCTGGTGATCGTCTTGACCAACGTCCTCTGTCAGATTCTGCAAGAGAGCAGGAAGGACACAGTTAAACAAGATGGTGATCTTCATTGTTCAGTAATGTTCTTAACCTTTATTTGACATTAACAGTCATCTTAATTACTTAAGGAGCATCTAGCTAAGACTGCAGAGCCTTTGTGTTTGCTGTTCGTATTTATGTAAAAAAATCACCCTTGCAAATTTATCTAAAAAGTTCAAGGCTAAAAAAAATTCAAAAACATTTTTCAAATTATTTGAAGATTATCAAAACCATATCAAACTGTTTCAAGAGTGGAAATAACTATCCATTGGATGGGGAATTTTGCATTGTTGCATTGAACAGTTACATTAATAAATGCAGCACTAGAACGACTGAATTTGCCATTTGCCACCGAAATGGCTTTCCTTAAGGATAAACACACATGCATGTTCTAAAGAAAACTGCTTAAAAACCAACTGAAATCTGGGAAATAAGTTATCCCCTTTTTCAGGCAGTACCTCTTCCACTAAGTTTTTACAAACAGAAGCCAGATTGGCATTTCCACCTATGGCTGCAATAAAACAAACAAACACGCAGCAAGCAAGCAGGGACACTCTTTAAAAAAAAACATCTTGTTTCACTCTTTGCCTGGTTGGAAGAGGGCAGCTTGCTCACTCAATGTGTCTTCCACAAGCACCGGAAGCAGTTGGGTAACGCTGATGATTACCGTTATTTGATCTACTGAGGAAAGCTGCTGTGAGGCAACGTCTGAATCCAGTGTTGCGGTGAAGGGCGCTCAACCCGGAGCACAATCTGTCACCTTTTACTGCTTATCTCCCGGCGGATTCAAAACCAACAGCGTCCCATACGAAAAAGCAGTCACAGTTTTTAAAAGTGTAATCACTTCATGATTTCAACCACCAAACGCTCTGGACTAAAGCCCTAGCTATTCTGCAAAATGAGAAAATGGCAAGTCATTACCAGCCTATTGAGGGTGTGGTAAATCTTGTGAATATTTGCCAGTGTTGATAGGTGAGAATTCAGTTGAAAATCTAGAGGGAGGGGAAAAAAGAAAAAGTTTTAAGCTCTCTGGTTTCCAGCTGTAGCAACCGAGATCTTCAGACGCTCCGGTCATTTAATAAAATCATCACACAACTATAAAATAAATGCCATCCCAACACTTTTTCAGCATCGACATTTTCAACACCGACTGGAATCAGTAAGTGAAGTCTGTAAAATATATCCTAAACGTGCATTTTTCTGAGGCATGGATGACCCTCAGCAAAACCAAACTACAGCTTACTACAGTCAGCTGACTACAGAGAAGTACAAAATTATATTTTAAAAAATAAATATTTACAACTTTTTTCCTTTAAATTTGAAATCGTTCTAATTTCCACGCTGTCCAGTCCTTCTGTTCCATCTATTCCAAAACCAATTTAAGTACCATGTAATATTCTAAAATAATTACTAAAAAACTCTAGCTTTTAAAAAAGATTATTTTATTAATGCACATGTACTTGCCTTCATACTAATTTCCTTGCAAAACTAAGTGACTGGACTACACTTACACCACTGAAACACGACTTCTGTATGATGAACCAAAGGTCACAATACAGCAGCTGTTAAGACCAGAGCCAGTAAAACAGAAAATAAAATATTCTGACACTTCATGAAAGAAGCCACAGCATAGATGTTAGCTTTGCTTCCATGCTCCAAAAATAAAACAGAGTTTGCTTCAGATGCAAAAAAGTGACAAACTCATTTTTCTCTATTCTTTTAAATCCCCTATTTTTACTAGAAACATGTCGAGGACAAAACTGGAAAATAAGTGATTTACAAAAAAGATCCACTGTGGTCCAGCCAGAGAGCGTGCAGACCAACAAGAATCTCGGAAGCTGGACACAGACCAGCCGACAGGGATCAAAGGCAGCCAGCTACTACTCAATATTTCCATTTAAACTACAAGTAAGTCAGCTACCCCACTAGGACTCGTACACAAACCCATTACAAGGAGAGACATGTACGGTGTGACAAGCAAAGTATTTCAAGCAAAATTCTTCTGTACATGAAAAGCTGTACGTGCCCAGTGTCACCACCCAGTTAACGCATTAAGGCATTTCACTGCGAGACATTTAATTTGGCTTCGCCCAGTAGCTGATACAAATAAGGTCAAAAACTCAATTCCCTCACTCCCATCCCTAGCATTTCAAATGCATGCTCTCAAAATACACTTCAGATGACCCAGAATCTACAGACAAACAAAAGTCAATATTAAATATCACATCCCCAAGGCAGCAAACCACGCTGCTGTGGAGTTAAGGAGTGGATCTGAAGGAAGTGCCTGCTCCAAGTGTACTTGCTACACAAACGGTTATGGAATTCTCTTGTCACAGTGAATACAAAAACAAAACAAAAAAAAGATACCGTTAGGAATCATACATTTTATTTATTATGTTAGCTAGAGAGCTGCATTTCACTAACTGCTACCTATTTCTTATTGTCCCCAACCCACCACCACAGCAACACAATTTCTGTAAGTCAGCAGCGCCAAAGATGGAGTTTCCAAATTTCGATATCTATATGAAGTCAAAGATAATCCAGACCTTCTTACCAAGATAGGATAGGAAGATCTTGCATCTGGAACAGGTGGCTAGATTTCTTCCTGCATTAAATGCTCTATAAAGTTCCATATTTGCTAGTCAAACCACACTAATCAGAACCATTCCACAAAAAAAACAACACCAAGTTTCTTAAGTCAACCTTCAACTCAGCATAAAGGAATTAAAAAAACAAAGAAGGTGGGGGACACAAGACACATAAAAGCCTTTCTGACAAGGGCAAGATTAAAAGGTAAGATTTATTTTGTTAAGTGCCAGACCACAGTAAGCTTTCTGGAATATGAATGTTAAAATTCCCCTTGTTGCTCAGCCTGGAGTCTACAAAGAACATGAGTCTTGCCAGCTCCCTCAGCACTCGTGGGTGCATTCCATCGGGGCCCATGGATTTGTGGACATCCAGATCGCTTAAGCGATCCCTCACACAGTCCTCCTCGACCAAGGGAAAGTCGTCCTCTTTGTAGGCTTCTTCTCTTCCCTCCGGGGCCTGGGATTCCTGAGGGCCAGTCTTAGCACTGAAGACTGAAGCAAAGAAGGCATTCATTATCTCTGCCTTCTCCGCATCCTCCGTCACCAGGACACCCGCCTCATTCAGCAGCGGCCCCACGTTGTCCCTAGCCTTCGTTTTGCTGCTGATGTAGTTGAAGAAGCCCTTCTTGTTGTTTTTGACATCCCTTGCCAGCTTCAATTCCAGGTGAGCCTTGGCCTTCCTTGTCGCATCCCTGCATGCTCTCACTACGTTTCTGTACTCTTCCCAAGTGGCCTGTCCCTCTTTCCACATGCCATGCACCTTTCTCTTCTGCCTGATCTCCGCTAGAAGCTCCTTGTTTAACCATGCAGGTCCAGCTATACCTGGAGGTAACAAGCTGAGAACACTGAGCAAATATTTTACTCTAATATTAAACAATAATTTTAGCTGGTACTCTTAAAAACAATAGAAAAATTATTTAAAAATTAAGATTATATATATTAGGTATTGCCTTTGAAATAAAACATTCCTAGGGACTTCGAAACGCATCATTCATACCTGTATGTTTCACACATCCACTGGAAATATCCTTAGAATTTTAAGCTGTTACTTCAAAAATACGTTATTCTGATGGCCTTCGAGGGGTTGCACAAATGCAATGGAATGTTTGCCAAGACTTTAAGAGGTGCATGTCAAACAAGCATATGTATTTTGTTGATTAAATAATTTCTCATGCAGATGTTAGCTTATCTTTAGCAAGGATTGAACCAATGGAAATTCCAAATGGCATTAAAAACTTTGCAATAATTCAGAATGCAACAGCTAAAGAAAAAAATCTGAGTAAAAGAACTGTAAATCCAGAATCTGGAAAGGAAAGAAATGCCAGAGCCAATCTAATATCATGGAATTTAAACTTTGCCTGCATTATCACTAACACTTAAGTGTTAAAGTTTGGGTTAGTCAATTAGTCACAATCATACGCAATTTATATGTAAAATGCAAACAGTTTAAAAATACCTTTTCAAATATTATAGATTAAGCTCTATGCTATGGACCTGACAGTTATGGACATGCAAAAGAAGCAACAGCCAGCTGGGCTTGCTTCTGTAATAAACTAGACAAAAATCGCTCTACACCCCCTCAATGAAAGTGAACATATGAAATGCAATGAACAAACAAAAAAATGCAATATATCTTAAATATAAGCAAATGACACAGGTGAACTTGAATACTTTCCTATCTGAAATGAAAAAAACTTTACAGGTTAAGTTTTTTATAGAAGGGAACAACAATGTGTTGCTAAACTATTTAAACTAAACCACAAATGAATACCTCAAAAAAAAAAAAAGTCTTTTTGCCTACGCGCCTACTCACACATAAACACATACCTGCCTGAACGAAAACTTTAACTTAGTTCCTGCTGTCAAAATCATTGCTTTCAAGCTTGGAAAAAACATGGCTGCAGGGTGCACTACAATCTACTGAAAACCTAGCGAAAAATCAGCACCATACTAAACCACATCAAGCAGCTGACTCCAAGTTTCCTACAAAAGCTTCTAGATTATTTCTCTGAGCAAATAGAAAATCTGCACAAAATCTCACAGCAACAGTAGGTCTAAAAATATTTATCCTAGGCAGACATGCCATAGAAATGCTACAGATACAAATCTGTATTAACAGTTCAGTACGGAAGTAGTGATTTTTATTACTGCTAAGATACATCTGACTAAGTACAAATATCATGGGTAACTTTCTGTAACCTTCTCAGAAAAAAATTACATAGAAAACACATACTGGGCAGACTCCTTCCTAAAAATTAAAATGGAATGTTTATGCTTTTACTTTTATTTAATTGGTTTTCTTGGTTTCAAATAACGAAACTGGAGAAAACTTGCAGTAGTACTGGAAATAACAGTTCAAAGTATTGTCTTCTTAAATAGTTTTAAATAAACTTTACTTGTCCAAGAAGAATCATTTAATCTTCTACGAACTACAGCATTTCACGCTCTGTAGTCTGCTTACAGAATCACCCTAGCAGGGAGACAATTTATATTGATTAATGAACTTAGAAGTTCAGATCTGAAACAGACATTTGGTGAAAGCCTTCAGTCCTGATGTTCAGGCAGCAGAAATTCCGTATTCATTACTGAATGCAGAACAAGTTTTCTCTTCTTTTACACAAACCCACCACGACACACCTAAAAAGCGCGATTCCCAAACTGCAGCAGAGAGCAGCTAGGAGCTGACCCTGCGTCCTTGTCCAAGAAATCCCGCTCCGGGGTGTCCACAGCCAATCCCGCGCTGGCCGGGAGAGAAGGCACGCAGGAACAGCCTTGAAATTAGGGTCTCCCTTCATCTGGTGGGGTTGATGGCATGATTCACAAAGAAAGGAAAATAGAAGGGAATTCCAGCCTGGACAGCGAGGACAGGCAATTAAATGGCAAGCGAGGCGAGACGATCTGTCCTAGCTTGAGGAGCAACAGGACCTCGGCGTTCGAGCTGCCCAAGGCTTCTCCCGCACCAAGCTCAGAGCCACTGCCGACGCCGGCAGTATCCAAACCCACAGCTGTGAATCTGCGTACCTTTTCCAAACACAACAGCCTAAAACGTTCTGAAGCAAAACACAGAGTGATTTAAGCTATTAATCAAAAAAAAAAAGCCTATAAAAAACCTCCAAACAACAAAATGTGGTTGAAATGAAAACACAGTAAAAAAACCACTTCTCATTTGCAGGTAAACATTCACATTCAACTCTAACATTTGGTATTACCACATGTAAACAGTCACTCACTCTACCTGCAACAAAATATTTAACATTACTGCACGCTACATAGATAGGGAAAAGCACTGATTTTTTTTTCCCCAAAAAGGAATAAATCCTTATTTTACCTAGGTATTTAAAAAGTACCCCAATCTGAAGGCTTCTTTACAAAAAGAGCTACTGCAGTTTAAAGTTC